ACTGCCCTCTTGATCACTTTGCTCAGAAAAGGTAGTAAAGAGACTGGCATGTATCTGTTCATGTCCAGGGAAGGTCTTTTCAGAAGCAGCCTAATCACCGCTTCCTTCAAATAGGATGGAACATGACCTTCCTTAAGGGATGCACTGATGATGTCTCTAAGGAACATATTCAAGGCATCTCCCCCTAGATGGCCAGCTGGGAAGGGCAAGGATCAAGAGGGCAGGTTGTTTGCCTCACTCTACCAAGGAGCTTGTCCACGTCATCAGTACTCACAGATTGAAACTGAACCAGTGTATAGTATAGTATAGTACATTCATACAATAGATCGTCTCATGATCTGGCCCTTCTAGGTGAGCTGGATTAAACTTCCAGCATGGTTACTGATGTTGGAAGTTATAGTCTAATACAGTGATTCCCAAATTCTGGCCTTCCAGGTGCTTTGGACTTCCACTCCTAGAATCCCAGAAATATTGGCCAAGATGGCCAAAGCTTCTGGGAACTGTAGTCCAAAACCCTTGGAAGGCCTGAGTTTGGGAATCACTGGTCTAACATATATGACATGTTGTAGGTTAAGTATGGTATCAACTCAGTCAAGAGCTCAATCAAGGCATTCCATTCTCACTCTGCAAGTCCTTTCTTCTTTTCTGAATGAAAAGAAAACCACTCAACCTTTTGTGGCTACTAAGTACACTCTGTCCTCAGTGGGTTGTTGTATTGTGGTTACTGTTGCTTTGTCACATGTTGAGACTGAGATAGAATAGCTTGCCTAAAGCTATTGAATGAATGCATGGCAGAAATTAGATCTAAACTAGGATTCTCCTACACCAGCCCACTTTCTTGCTTATTTGTGAAAAGAGGGTTTAGAAAATGAGGAAAGAGAGATACACACACACACAACTTGCAAAGTGGCTAGTGAACTTATCATCATGCTGAATCTGCTGTCTGATGATATTCTGCTGCTCAGGACTGCAAGTACACATTTTTAACCGAATGAGTCCCATTAAATTCTTATAGATCACAGATTGCAAAGAAAAACCTTTCTCTCTTACATCACACCAAGTGAACACCCTGTCTACACAGACATCCTTAAGAGCCAACCACTGGCAACTGCAACAAAATCATTCTTCGATTATTTCTTTGGACTTCTCTCCTTTTCTGAGATGGCTTTTCAGTTACTTATCAGAACTATTCACTTTGCAGGAAAAACCCTAACATAACAAATGAACGTTTGGTAGCATTTAGGACATCAGTCCAGCATTTACAATTGACAGTAAAAAAGAGTCTATCACTTTCTCCAGAATAGGAATACATTTAGTTCTGGAACAGGCTACAGCAGCTAAATGAAAACAGAAATCATGCTGTCCCTGGTTACTAAGTGAGCCAGATGTTTTCTATCTGTATGACACTGGAATTGTTAGAGATTGGCCCCCAAAATCCCAGCAGCATGATTTACAAAATCATGCAAACAATGTATGCATATGCAAGATTATGAATACCAGTAGAACAGCATGCTGCATTGACACTGATATTTTCTTCTCCACCTGCCGAAGTATCAGGTTCACAGAAAGAGAGCAATGAAAATTCTTCCTGCTGGGCTCCTTTTCAACATCAGAAAAGACTGAAGTCCCTCCAAGATGTGACTACTTGTATGCTCAATTAACAGTAAATTTTGACATTTCCAGGGGCAGACTGGAAGTGTCCAGCATTATGAGTGAAGCATTATGGTCATCAACTAAGTTTGCCACATGGAGCCCATTAAGACCTTTTAAGAACTTCACCAGCACACCTATGGCTTCCAGGCACTATTTAAATTCTCTAATGTCCAAAACTGCCCTGTCCAGGTATCTTAAAGATTGCCTCCTCCTATTTCACTTTCTCCCACCAGAGGTGAATGGTTACATAATCTATCTTCCATATTTGGGTTATTATATATTTCCCCTCTTGAAGGGGAAAAGGGACAGGATCCGATGGGGTGCTACTGGCAATAAAGCTGAGAGGAAAACAAATCTGATCCACTGAGGAATAAAGCTGAGAGGAAAACAACTCTCTACAAAACATCTTTAATACAACAGAGAGCTGAAAAGGGGAGAGAAAGGAGAAGGAAGTCCAGACACTTCTGCTAGTGAAGCACTGGATTTAGTTTCCCTTGTTCTGTAAACTTTCCTGTCTAGGCAGCAAATTAAAGCCCTATATTTTGTAGTACTTACATATATGGGGAAAGATATCTGATGTACTTGCTTCTTATTTGGGTTACTATTATATTGTAGTGTAATTGTGTTGTTATATTGGTTTAATACAGTGATTCTTCTATTGACATAAGCCACAACTCTAGATCACCTAATGGCTTTTCAGATTTTAAAAAACTCGACTGGTCAAATATTTGTACAAATCAATTTAGCAAAATTTAGCTATTTAGCAAAAAGTGACAGTGACATTTTTTTTTTTTTTTGCCTGACCCTTGTTACTAAATTGTACTCTTCAGTGTTTAGTGTACAATCAGCCTTTTCTGGCTGTTTGTTATATTTCTTATATAACATTAGGATGAACTCCCTGACAGTAAGCGCTGTTCAACACTGGAATATGCTGCTTCAGAGTGTAGTGGAATCTCTTCCTTTGGAGGTTTTAAAGCAGAAGCTGGATGTTTCAGATATAGGAAAGAAAAGTGAATACACACTATAGGATAGATAATTAATGAAAAATAAATAAGGAGAAAATAATTTAACAAGGAGAAAATGGAATACATGTTTCAGTGGCGATCAGAGGAAAGAGGGAAGTCTGTTTTTAATGGAGTGTAGGGGTATAGGGGATATAATATATGTTACAAGGATTGATATCGTTTTTGTGGGTGTGGGTATGTTTTTGTTGTTGTTTATTTGCTTGCTTGCTTATTTTTATGTGTATGTTTATGTTACTGTCTGTGTATGTATGTGCAGTCTTTTTATTATTATTTTTAAACTACTAATAAATATTTGAGAGCCAGTATGGCATAGTGGTTTGAGTGCTGCATTGCAACTCTGGAGATCAGAGTTCGATTCTCAGCTCAGCCATAAAAACCAGTGGGTGACCTGGGCAGGTCACATGTTCTTAACCTCAGGGGAAAGCAATGGCAAACCTCCTCTGAACAAATCTTGCCAAGAAAACCCCATAATAGCCTTAGGGTCACCATAAGCAGGAAACAACTGGAAGGCACACAACAATAACAACAATAAACATTATAAATTGGTGAAACAGAGGAGTGCTGTCAGGAGTCCTTTGATTCTGTATTCCTGCATGATAGAGTTGGACTGGGTCTCTTCAAATTCTATGATTCTAGGGCATCTAAATGAAGTAATTTTAGCAAACCAAAGATTGGTAAATATAAAGCATGGTGTAGTGATTTGAGCACTGGACTATGACTCTGGAGATCAGGTTTTCAATAGTTTCATGCTAGGAAACCACACTTTGTAACTTTGGGCGAATCACATCCTCTCTGCTTCAGAAGGAAGCAAAGGCAATCCTCCCTCTGAACAAATCTTGCCAACAAAACCCTGTGATACGTTCATCTTAGGGTCGCCACAAATTGAAAACGACTTGAAGGCACACAACAAGAAGCGCAGTATCATTGTTTGCTTACTTCCTAAAATTGACAGTTCTATAACCTACAGGGAGAAAAATTAGATTCCCGAGGTCCCCTAGTTGCTGTTATGGCCAAACTATATTTGACATCATGAAAGTTATGGCTGAAGATCTATAAAAAAATCTATTCAGTTCTGCAGCATAGTAGAAGAATTTATTACAACACTTTTCTCTGTGCCAGGGCTATCCAAAGACATTTTGCTGCTTGAGGAGAAGAAGATGGCATTCTTTCACCATTTTAGCTACAGAGACTGAAATGGCTGAAAATGTATTACAATACTGTTGATAGCAAGTATCCTCCATCCTTCCTAAGGGTAAGAAGCTTACAGAGTGGCCTGCAGATCCAGCAGAAAGGATCAGGAGACTGCCTCCACTGTCCACTGACCTACCTTATTCTGCCAGCTCTGTGTATTTGCTCCCAAATGCAACATTTTCACTGGCTACTAGTTAGTCCTTGAATGAAAGCACTTGGGTGCTACACTAAAACCACAGTTATTCTCTATATGGTGTGCTTCCCTTAAAGACTATAATTTTATGCATAGTCAATACAATCTGACAAACAGTCTTGTCACCTTCTCAACTGTTTTCTTGGTGACCCATGCTGAATTTCCACACTAAATTCCAGAAAGCTCCTCTGAGCAAAAGATGATGCCTAAAAGCACCTTGCTCTGCAGAGGGGCGGGATATAAATTATTATTATTATTATTATTATTATTATTATTATTATTATTATTATTATTATTATTATTATTATTATTAAATGTTGTCTCTAAGAAATATAAATCTTCTCCTACAAACCCTACCTGTGGACAGATCCATGTTCTCTGGAACTCTAAAATAATACATTATGGCAATTACAGACCCGCTGGTCAGAGAGAGATGGAAGGTAGTAATTCCATCCTACCCCCTGCCTGATGCAGGCTCTACAGGGCAGGATGTACCTATGATGTCTCCAACAGATGGCTATTCAGGCTCTGCATAAATATTTCCACTGAAGGACAAGCCACTCCACCTGAGACAGCATGTGCTTCTGTTTCATACACTGCATGCATACCACTAGGAAGTTTCCAGTAATGTATAGCTAGAAGCCATTTCCCTACAGTTTCCACCCTTTGGTTTTAGTCCTGTCTTCTGAAGCAGAAGGGATCAAGTCTGCTCCATTTTCCATAGGACAACCCATTAGGTATCAGAAAATTGGGATCTCTTCCAGGCTAAAAACATTCCAACTCTTCCTCACCATCCAGGTAGTTTTTCATGAGACAGGCCCCAGAGATATCTATGCTATGCTTTACTACCTAGCTGCACCAGACCAAAAGACAGCAAGGTCAACATTGGCTGAAACAGCACTGCAGAAATAATCTAATTTGACACCACTTGAACTACCATGGCTCAATGCTACAGAATTCTAGGATTTGTAGTTTGTTGTGGCACCAGAGCTCTCTGACAGAGAAGGCTAAATTTCTCATAAAACTTCAAATCCCAGAATTTCATAGCACTGAGTCATGGCAGTTAAAGTAAAAAACTGGAATATTTCTGCAGTGCAGATGCAGCCATTATCTTATTAACCATCTGAATAAAGTAACAATTATTTTCTTCTTTCCTCCCTATCTAATTTTCCATTTGCGTCTTCTCTGTTACAGATCACAAGTCTGAAGAAGTGGCTCTGCTATCCTCTAGTTTTTATACGGTGCCTGGAAATTATAGATAATTTATATATAAATAACCATTCTTGCCAATGTATACATGAAGCACAGCCACATATGCAAAGATCAGAAAAATATCAACTGGTCTTTAACAATGAATGAAGCAATTGTTATGTCAAAAAGCATACATATGAAGAATATCTGTTTAAGCAAGTAGTGTAAAGGTTGTTTTGAAATATGATGGTGATTTTACTTACCAGATCTATATTCTGCATGATATCCTGGAAAGATGGATGAGTTCGAAATTGCTCAAAGAGATCACGCTTATAAAGCAATGCATACACTAGATTAGGATTATGATGTAAAGAGTTTGTCAGGCAGGAGTTGATTATCTCTAACATCATTCGAATGACTTCTTCAATCACATTCAGATCCTGCGCCTGTAAGAAACATGTAGATGTATGTTAGTCAGATCATAACAGTTTCAGCCATACTCTATTTCTAACTGCAAATAGTTTTGCAAATGACAGTTTACAGGGTACAGTGATTTTAATGTTACATACCAAAAAAAAGTACTGATATTATTGAGCAAACCACATTAAGCAGATGGAAGTTAGTACTCTTTATAACCTATCACATCATATCAATTTGGAGTTGTTCACTGAGTACACATATACATTAATTGTTGTAAGCTGCCCCGATTGTTCGACAGAGGGGTGGGGTAGAAATAAATTTATTATTATTATTATTATTATTATTATTATTATTATTATTATTATTAGGCAATTTTTTAAAAAAATGTTAATCATTGCTAATTTAAATGGAATGTATTTTCTCTAAATGCTGTTTGTGGGGGGGGGAGAGGGAAGAAAAGCTTATTATGAATTATAGATTGAATAATTTGTACTATGGACTGTGTTAATAAAAATTATAAATTAAAAAAACATATACATAAGGCAAACATTTAATTCATATACCGTGTTTTCCGGTGTATAAGATGACTTTTAAACCAGGGAAATCTGGAGTTCGAGTCGGGGGTCGTCTTATACGCTGGGTATAAGGAGGAGGAGGAGGACAGAGGTGGGAGGGGGAAGAATCCTTGGGAGAAGATGAGGACAAGGAGGACAGAGGTGGGAGGGGGAAGAATCCTTGGGAGAAGAGGACGACTCTCTGGGGTTTTCTTGGCAAGACTGGTTCAGAGGAGGTTTGCTATTGCC